AGATCTGACCACCTGATGTCATGTTAGCTCCAAAAACATGTGTCTGAGAAAATATGCCTACAGAAAATACTACACACTAGAGGACACTTACCCATGACTATTTACTAATATTAGTTGTAAATGAATATACCGTTAACTAAAGAAACTAAGCAATAAAGCTTTGTTTAAAAACACTTATGTAGATTAACTTTCAGCTGGTTAAGAACACAGAAGGGATAGTATGAAGAAACTAACTGAGGACGCGTTACACCTTTGGGAACAGCCATCAGGCATTTTGCAGAAGAGAGACTTAAAATATTAGCCAACTAAATGATCAATCTCCTTTGGGCTTTTAATAAAATTACAAAATTCTGTCCAGATCTAAAGAGGTTATCCTATAAGCACTCAAAAGGAAATAAACTGGTCTTAAAAAAGAGCTGAGATAGGACTGTAAAATGGTGCAACTGCTATGGAAAACAGTATGGAGGTTCCTCAAAAAATTAAAAATAGAACTACCATGTGACCCAGCTATCCCACTTCTGGATATATGGTCAAAAGAATTGAAAGCAGAGTCTGGAAGACACATCTGCACACTCATGTTCATAGCAGCACTATTCACAAGAGCCAATAGGGAGAAGCAACCCAAATGTCCATCGAGGGATGAACAGATAAACAAAATGTGGTATATCATTCAGCCTTAAAAGGAAGGACATTCTAACAGATGCTACAACATGGATGAACCTTGAGGACATTATGCTAAGTGAAACAAGCCAGTCACAAAAAGACTGATTCCTCTTATAGAGGCATGATTCCTCTTATAGGAGGTTATCTAAAGAAGTCAAATTCACAGAAACAGAAAGTAGAATGGTGGTTACCAAGGGCTGGGGGGAGGAGGTAAAAGGGGAATTTGTTTAATGGGTATAGAGTTTCAGAAATGCAAGATGAAAAAGTTCTGGAGATCCCTTTCACAAAAACATGAATATACTTAACACTCTTGAACTGTACAATTAAAAATGGTTACAGCGGTAAAGTTTGTTGTGTGTTTTTTACAATAAAAAAAGCTGATTTCTTCCCCCTCAGGATACACGTTATATTGATCACAGATGTAGGCCTGGATTCTAAAAATACCATGTCCTTTCCTGTCTAAATGTTAAATACATACCTTAGATTTCTATAATTCTCTGCAGTCTATAAAACACTGTCAATCAGAAGCCAATTGTTATCCAAGACTTCTGAATACCAATACAATTAAGTTATATTGTTCTTTAGCCTTACATATCAAGAATTAATTATTCAATACATGACTTTTCAAGCCCCCTGCTACTCCTTCTTTATCCTATTTCTTTTTTCTGGCCATTTCTCTAAATACTAAGGCTTCAATTCAAGAATAAGAGAAGTGGAAAAAAAATTCTAATTGGTCTGATATATCATCAAAAGAAGAAGTTACCAGATTTGGCCAAAATCTGAACTGAGGATTATCATTTATCTATGTTTTTCTCCTTTCTCTCAGCATGAGACAGACTTCAACAGTTCTTCCCTTTTATTTAGAGGGCAAATCTAATTGTGGTGCTGGCATACTGCTAAAAAGAGATGGGCATATAAGAACTCATGGGAAGGCAAATAAAGAACTTGCTTCAATTGTATCATTCTGGTTTACAAGTAGGCAAGTAAGACCAGAGAGGTCAAACGAGCTGTAAAAATATGTATGCCATTTATAGTCTTTTTAACATAATAATTTTATGAATCTGGAGAGCCAAAAGAATGGCTACAATCTAGTCTCTAGTTTTATTAAGGGAAAAATTAATACCGTTCCAGAACTAAGAAAGTTTTAACTAAAAAGATACATAGATGGATTCAGGTCCACATCAAAGATTCAGGTAATATATTTAGAATTTTAGACCTTTTTATTTATAGGCCCACAAAGTAGGAGGCAGAAAGAAGGTAAGGTCTTATGTATTCTTAAGAATCAGACCTTCCACAAGCTGGTTTTCACTTTTAAAGCCATGATTTCAGATTTATTTCAATAATTTTTTTTAACTCCAGTCTCTCCTTGTAGATTCTGAGATGCATCATCACGGGCTGCTCTTTCACTTATAAATCAAGTAACACTTTTATTACTGTATTAACAAAGCCTCTTGGACTATAAAAGAGAGCAGATGGGATGATTAACAGCAGCAGCTGCTACATCAATATCCAGAAAATTACATGCATACCATAAATGAGTTTTACATTTTAGATGCCTTAGCTTCCCAATTTTTTTTTAAAGACTGGCACCTGAGTTAACAACTGTTGCCAATCTTTTTTTTTTTACCTCCTGCTTTTTCTCCCCAAATCCCCACAGTACATAGTTGCATATTATTAGTTGTGGGTCCTTCTAGTTGTGGCAAGTGGGACGTCGCCTTAGCGTGGCCTGACGAGCGGTGCCTTGTCCGTGCCCAGGATCGGAACCAGCGAAACCCTGGGCCGCCAAAGCCCAGCGCGCGAACATACCCACTTGGCCACCGGGCGGGGCCCTTCCCAATTCTTTAATGCTCCTCCCTTTGCCTCCAACATGCAACATGACGATGTGAAGATAAAAAAAAAATATGAAGATAAACTTAAATCAAGATGCTAGTGAAGTCATTAAGTGCCTACTTTGATGGCTTCTAGCTAATCAAAACAATCTTACTAGTTTAGTTTTGATAAACTATATTAACCATTTTTAGAATTAATTTACGCTTTTATTAGACATTGTGGGTTTTTGTGATTCTCAGAGTAGTTTCAGTTTACAAAATGCTCAACTGTTCTAAGTGTTCTACAGGTATTCTAATTTAATCCTCACAATAATGGTGGAGGTAAATATTAGTATTCACATTTTACAGGTGAGGAAACTATACAGAATAATTAAGTACCTTGCCCAAGGTTAAGCTAACAAGTAATAGAGCCTGGATTTAAACCAGCCTTCAAAGTTCACGCTCCTTATTACTTTATACTTCAACGTTGTTTCTTAACATACAGAAGCACTGCAATCTCCTATCTTCTCACACTGGCTCACAACTAAACCATTTATTAGAATACAACTTGTATTTAACTGCTCTTTAACAAGAAATTCACAGCTTAACTAGCGAAGAATCTTGGGGTCTTGGCTTTCTGAAGATTAACATCAGGGCAGGCAGTTCAAAAATTGGCTTACAGGTGGCATTTTAGTTTCCTCAGCAACTCAATTTTCCTGGATCAAAATCCAAATTAAAATAACTATGCTTTCCATGGTAGAACAAGGTCATTCTGACCCCCTCCTCATCCTCTTAGCTGGAAATTAGGCAAAGTATTTTTACAATTTTACAAGAGAGAAGTATTGACGTCTGTAAAGAAATCTGGTGAGATCAATTCATTGAACTTGAACTTCTTTAGAGAACTCTAAAAAATAACTCCTCACCTTTCTAGGGTCCTTTTGGGAAAATAAATCATTATTTGCCTATGTAACCAATAACTTTCAGTGCAAGAATTTCTATTTTCAGATATTTAGTCTGAATATCTACCATCCTAGCAGTTATCAACAGTAGCTGTTCTCCATGGCTTACGGGGGAATTACTAAAAGAACAGACTAAAGATTTGTTTTAAATGGGATAAGGACTTAAATTAGCAGCAAGAGTTATTATTTCTCACAATAACAGAGACTTCATTAGACCGTTTGAGCTGTTATATTAGCATCAGCAAGTATTTTTTGAGCTGGGATTATAGACCCAATTCCTAGCACAGTACAGAGAAAATTCTAATTATCACAGAAGATATTTCCAAGGAACTTCATCTTTTTCTGACATAAATGAGATAAGCCTCAGACTTCTTCAGGCATGCTATATAAAGAATTTAAAGCTGTTTTATTTAGTCACTCATATACTGAGTAGCTACTATGAAGAGAAGCATTATCCAAGATAGATAAATTCACAGGCCTAGCACTGAATAAGTTTTCAACCTGGAACAAACTGTACCAACTGGTGTGAAGCAATATTCTTATAAAACAGCCCAAAACATCCCCACGGGTCCAGAACTGCTTACTGATTTCCACATTCCACATATGAGGATTAGTTTTTCCAAATATCTAGCTCTTAGTAGACTGAATTCCACCTGCCATACCTAAAGATTAGTTTTTCTCAACACCTTTTTTTCCTGCTCTTTTCTCCCCAAATCCCCCAAGTACATAGTTGTATATTTTAGTTGTGGGTCCTTCTAGTTGTGGCATGTGGGACGCTGCCTCAACATGGCCTAATGAGTGGTGCCATGTACGTGCCCAGGATCGAACCCTGGGCCGCCTAAGTGGAGCACGCGAACTTAACCACTCGCTGCGGGGCTGGCCCCCAACACCTAACTCTTATTAGAAACCTGGATATTACTCTGGGAAACACCATTTCCTCCTCACATTTACAGATTCGCTCCCACTGAGGTAACTGCGCACTTTAACACATCCCTTTAAAAGGGACAAAGCTTTTGGTCTACGTAGTGATTTATCTAGCAGGGCCTTTTTTTCAACCGACCTCTGGCAGGATTCTCCTAGAGAGCAGAGGAGTCAACCTAACTCTTATAAACTAAGATCCAGAAAGGGCCTTTGGTAATCGCCGGTAAGCGCGGAGCTAATGAAAGGATTTGTGGGCGGGTCACTATCCTGGGCCACTCCAGATAACGTTATTCATCCTAGGAGCAGTTAGGCGAGGGAAAGGAAAGTCTGCACCCCATCCTCTTATCTGGACCCATTAATCAGCCCGGCAGGAAACAACCAGCAAAACAGCCCCCCTGGGACGGTGGGGTCAAATGCCGACCTCGGCGGAGAAGCCACCACACCCCTCACTCCTCACCGTCCGCCTAGCGGCCGGGAAGCCAGGTCCTACGTCTCGGCGCTCATCCAGAGCCCCCAAGCCACGACTACTGTCACCAACCCAAGGTCTCGCCGGACCCACTCTGCCCAGCCTCCCGACCCTCGCTTTGCCTCTCTTCCCTTCTGGGTGGCCCGGCCGCTCGCCGGCCGCCCCGAGGGGTGGCGAACTTACGGCCGCCGCGGCGCCGGTGAAAATATCCTCCCCCTCGGTGTCGCTGTCCCCAGCTTCGGGTTCTGACCCCCCGGCCGCCCCCTCGGACTCCGGCTCCAGGCCGGGGAAGGGCGGAGGGAATCTTTCTGAAGCGCTACAGCCGCCACCACCCGACGCCATCTTCCTCCACCCGCGGCGGAAGCCGCAACAACAACTTTATAGAGAGAGAGCGCCGCGAGCAAAGCGTTCCAGCTGAGCGAGGAGGGGGATGGCCGCCGCCAACCCCGCGGGACGCGCTGGGCGGGGCCTCGGGGGCGGGGCCTGGGCGCTGGGGGCGGAGCCTGCCAGGGGGTCCCGCCCCGCAAAGCCGAACCCAGATCGCGACGCTGAGATCTTAACCCAGGGGGCAAGGGGGCAGAAAAGCTGGAGCTGGGGGCTGCTCAGCTTCCTCCGGCCCTTTGTGCTCTGGATAGCTCTAACAGGCTTCTAAGGAGTCTGAAAACCTCTACATGCCACCTACCCATGCCAAGAACAGTGCCCCCGTAGAGATTCAATACATACATATGTATATATATATATATATATATATATATATATTTTTTTTTTTTTTTGCTGAGGAAGATTATCCCTGAGCTAACACCTGTGCCAATCCTCCTCCACTTCATATGTGGGTCGCCTGTGACAGCATAGCTGATGAGTGGTGTAGATCCATGCCAGGGATTCGAACCTGGCCACCAAAGTGGAGCAACCCGAACTACTATGCCATGGAACCGGCCCCATCAATATATATTTCTGATTGAGGTCTCTGAACAGACTGCAGTAAAGTTAGCCATTTAGTCTTTGAACAACATTTAGTTAATTTACTCAAGAAATATATGTTGAGCATCTACTGTGTACCTGTCACCCTACATGTTTGAGATATAGAAATAAAGAAGCTCCTGGCCTCCTAGGCACTTGAGGGAGACAAGCATGTAAGCTAACAATTCAACATGTTCAGTGTTTTGGTGTGCTGTGAGGCACATTGAAAGAGATCATCACTTCTGATTGGAGAAGTTGGGAGGCCTCACAGAGGAGGTGAGACTTCAGTGTCCTAAACTTGGTTGTAAGGAAGTTAGGATTAACCTCTCAATTGCTGTGGAGTAAATGGAGTGGAACAGATGGCAGGGAAATTATTAAACTCTGAACAAAATTTTCCTGGGACCTAAACTATTCGCTGGTTGTCTGGTGAGCCTAAAGTCTAAATCAGCTAGACAAGACTTTATCCTTAAACAACAGTTTAAAGATAAATGGGATACCGGCCACCAGTGGCACAGTGGTTAAGTGGTGTGCACGTTCTGCTTCCACCGCCAGGGGTCTGCTGGCCAGGATCCTTGGTGCAGACATGGCACCGCATGGCAAGCCATGCTATGGTAGGCGTCCCACATATAAAGTAGAGGAAGATGGGTACGGATGTTAGCTCAGGGACAATCTTCCTCAGCAAAAAGAGGAGGATTGGCGGTGGATGTTAGCTCAGGGCTAATCTTCCTCAAAAAAAAAAAGATAAATGGGATATATTACCATGTGATTATTCTGCAAGATAATCCTGACTTCTCAATAGAGATGAAATGAAACTTGGCATAAACTTTGACAAAAGGTTTAGTTTGTTTCTAACTGCAAATTCCTCAACATCAGGGGTTGGCTCCCTCCCAGGTCTGTGAGCTGCTTGAGGGCAGAGGCCTGTTCTATCTTTGTATCCTTGGCACCTAAGACCAAACCTGAGATTTGACTGAAGGGATGGATGGATAAAACTAACATTATCAACCTTGTTACTGGCCTCCATCTCAGCCACGAACACCAGAGGGCTTAAGACATTCTTTTTAGGATGGCGATCTCTGATAGGTCACTATTGGACACACTGGACACAGGGAAAGCTCTCTAGTTCTAAGTTGTCTTTGAAGGGGACTGGCAGAAATTTTCAGCCAGCAGTGGGGAGTTGTACAGGCTTGAGTCCCTATGAGAGGAGAAAACGAAAAAGCCCCTCCTCCGCCCCCGCCAAATCTAACCATCCTTACTGGGCTCCCAAGACATCCGGTTTCCCAGCAACGGAAACTCGCTTCCGGCCCGACTAGGAAGTAAGAAAACTTTGGCTGGTAGAGGTTCCCTCGGTGTACACGCTCCTGCAGCACTAGAAATCAAGAGCTCCTTTCCCCTACCTCTTCAGAATTCATCTTTAGCTTATCCAGGGCTCTGACTGAGACAGTCAGTGGCGGGTAACAGACCGTTACATGCCAGCCCTCCACCGAACCCCCCCCCGGCAGAGACTACACGTCCCAGAATACAGCTCTTCGTCTTCCAAAGAAAACGACCCATGCGTCCCATCACGCAATGCGCCTCACGTGCCGCGAGAAATTTTTTTCTCTTGTCCCGCCGAAAACGAGCATAGCATGCTGGGGCTTGTAGTCCTTGCGGTTCCCTTCCCTAGGTCCTCCGCGCTGCTCCGTCCAGTCCCGCCTATTCTCTGCTCCCCGGGACCTTTGGGCTTGTCTTGGGCGGTTTGAAGATCAGGAAGTTGACAAATTGCGAGGCCGGCTGCTGAGAGACGGTGGCTCGGGTGGGACAGTCGCCAGGGATGGCGGAGCGTGAGGATGGAGCAGGTGTCCGGGCTGCTCTCCTGGACGTTGAGCAGAGTCCTGTGGCTCTCGGGCCTCTCTGAGCGGGGAGCTGCCCGGCAGCCCCGGACCATGGAAGAGAAAGCGCTAGAGGTTTATGGTAATTAATTTTACCCAAGGCAGCATTTGGCGTTACATGTGGAGGCGGGGGTAACGAAGGCCTCACGTGAGGGCTTGGGAGTAGAGACTCGGGGTTTTGCCGGATCTCGTCCGGAGCGTGGGAAGCGTTTTCCTGGGGGCCTAAGTCACGCGGGAATGTGGGTCTTCTTACGACCCAGGCTTTTCCTAAACCTGGACAAGCCGAACCTGGAGGACTTAAACGCTCCATTTCCCTTGTCTGCTCCAGGTCCTAGGGCCTCCTCAAGACTTATGGGCCGAGCAGGCGTCTAGGGTGCTTGGTTAGGAAGTAAAAGCTGGCCTGATGGCACTACTTGACCCTCCTTCCTTCCTATTCCTAGACCCTGGACACGCAGTCCTCGTGCTGCCACTGCCGAGGGCACTGCTGGGTGACTGCCGAATTGGGGACTAGCCCAAGGTCACACTCTTTTCTGCTGCGAAGGCAATAGGCAGAGGTCCCCGAGAGAAGAGGACGAGATAGGCTTCTCATAGCCAGCCCTCGAACTTATGGTTCCTTAACGCAGCCAAGCTTGGAGTACAAAAAACAAACACACACACAAACACACACGTAGTCTTCTCTCTCTATATATTAAATAGTCTCTATTTATCCTTTGGGACCATCTTCATCGTACAGATGAGGAAACAGGTTTAGAATGATTAAACAACTACCTGGAGGTCTCACTATCAGTGAGGAAACAGCAAAAAACAAAGCCAGTGTCTGATTCCAAACTTAGTGCACTTCCTAACACTTCACAAGGGCCTTAAGACTCTCCTTTTTTGGACTTATGTAGTATTGTTTTTGGAACCTGGAAAAACTGGATCCATCTAACATTCTGAGATTCCTTCTGACCGAGGGTGAAACATCTAACCATAAGAATACAAATATAATGCACGTGAGAATTGGAGGCCAGTAGAAGGAAGCAGGGATGGAAAAGACCTTTGGAACTAATCTGGTTTACCTCTCTCTTGCTAGAGGCAGAACTTAGTCAACCCCAGCTGGATGATAATTATGAGTGGAATGATCTCCACAAAGCAGATGGGCACATTCCTGTCCTGTTAGACCCCTGTCTCCAGCCTCTAGGGACAGCAGGGCACTGGGGATACAACTTCGGAAGGGAGATGATTCTTGTCCTCGAACTTCTATTAAGGGGGACCTTTATATGCAAGAATAGGATTTTTTTTTAATTATATGCAGTAGAAGGCCTTAGACCTGAGTGAGAGAGACAGAAATTCAGAGGAAGGAGGGATCCCAATCTCTGGTTGTGGGATCTGGAAACACTTGAGATGAAGAATTTGTAGGATCTAGACATAGAGAGACTAGAGGGCATACTAAGCAGAGGAAACTACAGCAAAAGTGTGGAGGTGAGAAAATAATATGTTTTAGGGAATGGCAGATAGGTGGGGGTACAGGATAGGGCTTGTGGTTAAAGGTGGAGTTGGTCAAAAATTGTTTTAGATAGCAGATTGGAATTGGATACTGAAGGTTGAAATATAAATGAAGAATTTAATGTTAGTGCACAGCCATAGAAGAATTTTAGGGGAGTAGTGTGAGGAGAACAACATTGCTTTCTCTCTAAAGAAATCCAAATCTCTCAAATCACTAGGAAACTAGAGAAGTTTAGCAAGTGGTGAGATTTAGTTTCAGGGTTAAGTAGCATATGAGGAATATAATGCAACTTGTAGAAATGAGCCTTACAGAGAAAAGGCCTAAGTTGAGGGGCAGCAAATTCCTTTTCAAAAACCTCTGTTTCCCTGAGCCCCATGGTAACACAGCCTTCTGAAGGGGAAGAAGCTTTGTCCTCTTGCCTGCCTCCGTTTTCATTCTTTCTCTAATCAAGCGATAAGCCCAGGAGTTGCTGGGGAGAAGGTAGAATTTGATTGATTGTTTTTCCCAGCTGCACTTCTGATTACAGGGCTGCTATAAATAACAGAACAGAACCTCCTGCTTGGGAACATCAAGCCCATCCTACGTGAACTCCCTCTGCTTCTCTCCTTTCTACTCACCATTTCTCTTTATCATTCTCCTTTTCCATCTTTTTCTACAACCTCAAAGAAGGAAATCTTGTCCTCTCCAAGGCCAGCTCAAGCTGCCACATCCTTGGTCTCATTCCCTTCTGTTAATTTACCAGTCTGCCTCCTCCCCTTCTTAAATTGTCACACTCTCTTCCTCTATTTGATCCTTCCCCTTGGGCTGTGAAACATCTTCAAGTTTCCCCTATCCTTGTCATTGTTCTAGCTTTTTCTAAACTCATTGTCCTTTCTCTGCCCTTCCCCGCCAAAGCCCTAGGACTACATTTTCAGTTCCCACTCACTTCCCCTTTTGCAAGCTGGCTTCTGCCTTCACCTCTCTACTGACACTGCTTTCTTACAGGTGACCTCCTGGGTGACAAATCAAAGACCTGTTTTAGCTCTCGTCAACCTGAATTTTTCTGCAGCATTTGATGTTGTTCACCACCCCCTCCTCCCTTCTCTGCTGCGTCTTGCTTTTCTTTCTCCTGATCCCTAAGTTAGGTGCTTCCCACACGTCTGTCCTTGAGTCTGTTTTCCTCTACGTTAATGATTCTCAAACGGGGCTGCACGTAAGAAGAACCTGAGGAATTTTTTAAAGTGTCAATGCCCAGGCCATACTACAAATCAATTAAATCAGAATCTCTGAGGGTAGGGCTCAGACATCAGTTTTTCTTTTTGTTTTTAAGCATTCTAGGTGATTTATTTCTTCAACCAAGGTTGAAAACTACCATTCTACTCATTCTTCTTTGTGAATCCCCTGGTTTCAAAAACCACTCTAGCCTTGATGCTCTCTTAAACTTTATGCCATAGTTCAGTGTTTGCTGGAATGTTCCATTGGTTTTCCCCTTAAGCACCTCAAAATCATGACATTTAAAATCAAACCCATTTGTCCAGGCGCCCACCCAAATTTCTTCTTGTTCTGTTCCACGTTTTTTTTCATTCTGTCAGTGTTCTCCCAGACACTTAGACTTAAAATCTGGGTCATCTTCCTCTTCTCCCTCTCCTTGTCTTCTACATCCAGTTGTCCAATTCTTTTCATTCTGCCTCTGAAATTACTTCTTTGTCTGTATCCACTGTGTTACTGTTATCATGTGCCTAGTATTAGGTCTGGCTCTTTTCAGCTGGTATCACTGGCTCTGCTCTTTATTCTGGGTCTACCAGCTGGTGGGTGATTTACCAGCTGACAGTGTAATGCTGTCCATGTCACTCCCTTGTTCAAAACCTCTTGAGGACGTCCTGTTGCCTGTAGCTGACTATAAAAGACCCTTGGTGGTCTGGTCCAAACTCTTATGTCCTCTTCACTTATGGCAGGTTCCAGGCAAACTAGCTCTGTTCTTTACTTCATCTTCAATGTCAAATATTGAAATGTTAGGCATTTTTAAAGGCTTGATTCTGATTCCACTTCCATAAATCCTGATACCACATTCTCCCAAGCTAAAAGTTATTTCTTCCTCATGAGCTTCTATGACACTTTCCCCATTCTTTTATTCTCTCTGCGATGTTGGATCCAAGAAACTGGATACGATCTAGTAATAATCCAAGAAAAGGGTTTACTCAAAAGGGAACCACTAGTGGAAATTTCTTGCAGAAATCTGAGGAGCTGTTGTAGTATTTGCTTAGATAAAAAGAAGTCAGTCTTTGGATCAGGACTGGCAAAATCATCCATATTTAGAATATTCATGTTTTAACATAATACCTTGTCTCTCATGATCCTTTAGATTTGATTCGAACTATCCGGGACCCAGAGAAGCCCAATACTTTAGAAGAACTGGAAGTGGTGACGGAAAGCTGTGTGGAGGTTCAGGAGATAAATGAAGAAGACTATTTGGTTATTATCAGGTTCACGCCAACAGTACCTCATTGCTCTTTGGCGACTCTTATTGGTAAAGTTTTATATTTATGTATTTTTTTAAATTCTAAATTATTCCAGCTGATATTGACCCCAAATAACAATTAGCATCATATATCACACTTTATGGTTTACAGAGCATTTTTATGTATTCATCTTCTGTAGTCCTCACAATTAGCCTGTGAGAGAGTTAATATTAATATATTCTTTTTACAGATGAGGAACCTCAGGCTCAGAGAGTTTAAGTGACTTGCTCAGAATCGTATAGCCAGGAAGCTGAGGCTCAAACCCAGGTCTCCTGACTCCAGACATGTTTCTCCTTTAGTTACACCATGCTGCTGCCCGTAGGTGTACATGCCTGCAATTAATGGAGAGTGGATGTAGGCCAGCTCCTCTCTTCCGTCCTGGAGGTTGGAGTGGGTGCTGTCAGACTACCTTTTTTTTTTTTTTTTTTTTTTTTTTTTTTATTTTTTTAATTAATGTTATGATAGATTACAAGCTTGTGAGATTTCAGTTGTACATTTTTGTTAGTCATGTTGTGGGTACACCACTTCCCCCTTCGTACCCTCCCCCCCCCTTTTTCCTGATACCACCGATCAGATCTCCTTCTCAATATACTAATTTCACCTATGAGTGGAGTCATATAGAGATCGTCTTTCTCTGACTGATATATTGTATACATAATGCCCTCGAGGTCCATCCACGTTGTTGTGAATGGGCCAATTTCGTCTTTTTTTATGGCTGAGTAGTATTCCATTGTGTATATATACCACATCTTCTTTATCCAGTCATCAGTTTCTGGGCATGTAGGCTGGTTCCACGTCTTGGCTATTGTAAATAATGCTGCGATGAACATAGGGGTGCAACGGACTCTTGAGATATCTGTTATCAGGTTCTTAGGATAGATACCCAGTAATGGGATGGCTGGGTCATAGGGTATTTCTATTTTTAACTTTTTGAGAATCTCTCATACTGTTTTCCATAGTGGCTGTACCAGTTTGCATTCCCACCAACAGTGTATGAGGGTTCCTCTTTCTCCACAACCTCTCCAACATTTGTCGTTCTTGGTTTTGGATGTTTTTGCCAATCTAACGGGGTAAGGTGATATTCTTAGTGTAGTTTTGATTTGCATTTCCCTGATGATTAGCGAGATGAACATCTTTTCATGTGTCTATTGGCCATATTCATATCTTCTTTTGAGAAATGTCTGTTCAGTCCTCTGCCCATTTTTTGATCGGGTTGTTTGTTTTTTTGTTGTTAAGCAGTGTGAGTTCTTTGTATATATTATGGAGATTAACCCTTTGTCGGATAAGTGGCTTGTGAATATTTTTTCCCAATTAGTGAGCTGTTTTTTTGTTTCAATCCTGTTTTCCCTTGCCTTGAAGAAGCTCTTTAGTTGATAGAGATCCAATTTGTTTATTCTTTCTATTGTTTCCTCAACTGAGGAGTTACAGTGTCCGAAAGATTCTTTTGAAACTGATGTCAAAGAGTGTACTGCCTATATTCTCTTCCAAAAGACTTTTTGTCTCGGCCTAATCTTTAGGTCTTTGATCATTTTGAGTTTATTTTGGTGTGTGGTGAAAAAGAATGGTCAATTTGCAATCTTTTGCATGTGGCTGTCCAGTTTTCCCAGCACCATTTGTTGAAGAGACTTTCTTTTCTCCATTGTAGGCCCTCTGCTCCTTTGTCGAAGATTAGCTGTCCATAGATGTGTGGTTTTATCTCTGGGCTTTCAATTCTGTTCCATTGATCTGTGGACCTGTTTTTGTACCAGTACCATGCTGTTTTGATCACTGTAGCTTTGTAGTATGTTTTGAAATCGGGGATTGTGATTCCGCCGGCTTTGTTTTTCTTGCTCAGGATTGCTTTAGCAATTCGCGGTCTTTTGTTCCCCCATATGAATTTTAGGATTGTTTGTTCAATTTCTGTGAAGAATGTTCTTGGGATTCTGATTGGGATAGCATTGAATCTGTATATTGCTTTAGGTAGTATGGACATTTTAACTATGTTTATTCTTCCAATCCATGTACAAGGAATGTTTTTCCATCTCTTTATGTCATCGCCTATTTCTTTCAAGAAAGTCTTGTAGTTTTCATTGCATAGATCCTTCACTTCCTTGGTTAAGTTTATCCCAAGGTATTTTATTCTTTTCGTTGCGATTGTGAATGGGATAGAGTTCTTGAGTTCTTTTTCTGTTAGTTTATTGTTAGTGTATAGAAATGCTACTGATTTATGCACGTTAATTTTATACCCTGCTACTTTGCTGTAGTTGTTGATTATTTCTAATAGTTTTTCTGTGGATTCTTTGGGGTTTTCTATGTATAAGATCATGTCGTCTGCAAACAACGAGAGTTTTACTTCTTCGTTACCTATTTGGATTCCTTTTATTTCTTTTTCCTGCCGAATTGCTCTGGCCAGCACCTCCAGTACTATGTTGAATAGGAGTGGTGAAAGTGGGCACCCTTGTCTTGTTCCTGTCCTCAGAGGGATGGTTTTCAGCTTTTGTCCATTGAGTATGATGTTGGCTGTGGGTCTATCATATATGGCCTTTATTATGTTGAGGTACTTTCCTTCTATACCCATTTTACTGAGGGTTTTTATCATAAATGGGTGTTGGATCTTGTCGAATGCTTTCTCTGCATCTATTGAGATGATCATGTGGTTTTTGTTTTTCATTTTGTTGATGTAGTGTATCACGTTGATTGACTTGCGGATGTTGAACCATCCCTGTGTCCCTGGTATAAATCCCACTTGATCATGGTGTATAATCTTTTTGATGTATTGCTGTAATCGGTTTGCCAAAAATTTGTTGAGGATTTTTGCATCTATGTTCATCAGTGATATCGGCCTGTAGTTCTCCTTCTTTGTGTTGTCCTTGTCAGGGTTTGGGGATCAGGAGTGATGTTGGCTTC